AAGGAAAGAAAGGGAAGGAAAGAAAGGGAAGGAAGGAGAAGGGAAGGGAAGGGAAAGAAAGGAAGGGAAGAAAGGAAGGGCCCCTGCTCAAGCAGGAGATTCCACAACATTCCAGATAAATGGTTGTCCAATCTCTTCTTCAAAACCTCCAGTGTTGGAGCACCCACAACTTCTGGAGGCCAGTCGTTCTCACCAAAATTCCCTTTAATTCAACCTTCTCTCCTTGATTAGTGTCTTTGTCCTGCCCTTGGGTGCTTTGGTGAACAGATTGACACACACACACACACACCCTCTTCTTTGGGGCAGCCCCTCAGATATTGGAGCACGGCTATCATGTCCCCCCAGTCCTCCCCCCCAATTCCTGCAACCATTTTTTGATACGTTTTAGCCCCCCCCCTCCCCCAGTCCCCTAATCATCTGCGTTGCTCTTTGCCCTGGCATACAAGATTGGTGGTCGGTCATCTAGCCCCTTCTTTGGTGGGCCTGTCCCACAAGGCTCAGTGCCGGCACACTCACTGTGCTGGCATGTTTGGTGGAAGGAGGAGGGGAACTTCCTGTCTGGGCTGTTAAGGGGGATCTAATCGTGACGGCTGAGCGTTTTAATGGCACCTTAACAAAAAAAAAATTGACTCAGTTTCCTTGGCAGTTGATTCATTCAGCTTTGCAATCTATCATTCCTCCTTTGCTGGTTCTTTTCCAGAGAACTTTCTGGTTTGGCAGGCTGAGCAACTTTAGTCAACAGTATTATTATTATTATTGTCGTTATTATTGTTGTTATTATTCATTAAGTATGAAACTCACTCAACTTAACATTTAAAAATGTATCACAAATACCGTTGACTGAGGCTGATGGTTGATACGGTTTGCTGTCAGCATCCCAAGTATCTTCTTAAAATGTACGCTGTTCCGAATAGCGCAGTTTTTCGCAGCTCCGCTGGCGCTACAGCAGGAAGCTGCAGCTTCTTGATGCATTTTTGCAAAAATTCTTGGACGTGGTACCAAGTGACCCGATGACAGTGGGTATCCCTGTCACATGTTTCATCCATAATCGCGTAATTTCGATAGCCAGGTCATGATATTTTGTGATACATTTTTTTTGCCTAGTTCTTTTTTCTTGGCGTCTTCTGATACAGTGATATCAATAAATTTGCACGCTTCGGTTTTCCAAGCCGACGATTCAAAAGTCAGACGGATCCTCATTTAGAACACAGCATGCCAGATATCACAGTTGTTATTGTTATTATTATTGTTGCTATTTTAAATGCAGGCCATTTGGCCGCTGGAGCCATGGTGGGTCTGACAATCAGTCCCACGGGTCTCTTTCTGACCCCTTTTGCTCATGCTTCCATTAGGAAGAGGCCAACCAGATTTATCGGGGCACATAACTTTTCACAGCGATGCCTGGATGTTGTCATAAATCTCTGCATTCCCGCTTAAGCTGCTGGCTCTTTCCTTTCCCTTGTTTTCTCCTTGGTGGAGCAGTCTGGAGACAGCCACCTCTGTGGAATTGGCCAGATGATGCCTTTGGAAAGAAAAAAAAACAACGGAAACCCAGCCAGCCTTACTTGCTTGCAGCCTTCGTTTATCCTCCTCGTGCCTATATCCAGGCTCGTGCATGGAGGACGGCTGTGCAAATAAATTAAATACCTCCCACGCTCACATCCACATCCACTCACCCCTATGCTGGTGTTTGCGGAGGGTGAATATCCCCAATGGGTTAAATGATAAAGTAAAAAAAAAGGAAAAAGGGTGCGGGGAGAGAAAACAGGTTGCCTTGGTTAGTTAGAGTCCTGGGAATTTCCTGCGGAATTCCATTAGCGTGAGTGAGCGGATTTTATGAGAAACAGCCCTAATTAGAAAGAAAACAGAGACATGTGTGCGCTCCAGGCCTCCTCCGGGCCCATAGAGTGCCGTCTCTGAATCACCACCTCTCGTACTGGCGCATTTAAAGGGTGAGTCAGAGGAAAATGGATCGCCTTTCGGTAAAGCTGTCCTCTCTTGCCTTCCTCCCCCCCCCCCCCCCCCCCCCCCCCCGCCCTCCCCAAAGCAATTGGAACCATCTGTTCTTTCGCCCTGCCATTTTATCCCTTCCCTTCCCGTGCCACTTCTCCAGGCCAGTTAAAAGCCTCCCCTCTGGAGCCGCCAACTCCTCCTTTCTGTTCACGAGATATTTATCCCGCTTTATTAAGTCTACTCGGGGCAGCGGGACATCAGCTAGCGCAGGGGTCCCCAACCACCGGTCCACGGACCGGTACCGGTCCGTGGAACAAGTCCTACCGGGCCGCTGGTTTGCTGGGCGCCACCATCTTGTTTTGATGAAAAAGTGCTTCCGGTGAGCTTTTCCGGGTAGAAAGCTCACCGGAAGCACTTTTTCATCAAAACAAGATGGCAGCGCCCAGCTGATGCCGGTACCGGGCCGCGCCATAAAAAAGGTTGGGGATCACTGAGCTAGCGCATCTTCCTCCTCCTGTTTTCCCCACGACAAGGTGTGAGGTGGGTTGGGAAGGGCTGGCCCAAAATCACCCAACGAGCTTTCATGCCTTAAGGCAGGACTAGAACTCACCGTCTCCTGGTGATGGGCCCAAAAATCACCCAGGTAGCTTTAATGTCTAAGATGAGACTAGAACTCGCCGTCTCCTAGTAGTGATTGGCCCACAGTCACCTAGCTGGCTTTCGTGGCTAAGACGGGACTAGAACTCGCTGCCCCTGGTGATTGACCCAAAGTCACCCAGTCAACTTTCACACCGAGGCAGGACTAGAACTCCCGGTCGCCTGATTTCTAAGCCAGCACCTTCACCACTAACCAACCTGGCTCAGCGTCTATAATTCCTTGCCACCGGCAACCTCAGTTTGGGATGTTTCAAGTCAAGAATGCAAGAAATGGCCTATTAGGTGGCCAAGCCTGTGTCCCTGGCCAATCTGGGGAACTGGTGGATGGTGACTGGACTTCCCGTCGGCCGTTGATCGCCCATCCCTGGGCAATCGACCCTTTTATCCCAGCAGAACGAAGCCAAATCTCCTGCCTTCTTCCAGATTTCCGGCCTCTTCCTTTCCCCAGTGACAAAGTCATAATCGATTCTAAAAGGTCTGCAAAGGTGCGCACATTCACATCAAAAAAGAAAGGGGGGAAAAAGAGAAAGGGAGAAAGAAAAGAAAAAAAAGGAGAAAAGGAAGAGAAGGAAGGAAAGGAAGAATTAGAGGGAAAGGAGGGAGGAAGGAAGGGTTAGAGGGGAGGGGAGGAAAGAAGGATGGAATGAGAGAGGGAAAGAAGGAAGGGTTAAAAGGAAGGAAGGAAGGATTGGAGGAAGGATTGGAGGAAGGATTGGAGGAAGGAGAGATTAGAGGGGAGGGGAGGAAAAGAAAGAAGGATTAGAGGGGAAGGAAGGACAGAAGGACTTGCTTCGTGTTCTGGTTGCAGCCATCTTTTGATTCGTCCATCCAGAGCCTGGGCTGATCTCATATTTCCTAGCCAAAATAAGTCCCCTCACATCAAGGGAGCCTTTATTCTCCCATCTTTCCTCTTCTGCACGGTTTGTTCATCCTGGCAGGCCCTTTTTTTTTCTTTTTCTCCAGCCCTGCATGACTCATCTCAGATAACAGGACAGGTATGGCACAAACATGCCTGAGAGGGGGGAAAAAGGGGGCTGCAGCTGTCCCCAAAACCTCACCCACCCGCCCGTCCCTTCGGTGCAGAAATACAATAATTAAAAATAGATTCTCCTCGCCACCAAAGCCCCCACCACCACCAACCCACCCCACCAGCGTCCAGGCGAAGGGAGCGGAGCGGGGCAGGCGTCCAAGCAGGAACAGTGGCTGCCTCTTCTATTACTGGGGCTCGCCCGCCAGATGTTGAGACCCAGGTTGGCAAACGGCTGGAACGAAGGTTCAAATTGCTCAACTCCGCGCACGTCCACAGATCGTCCTCCAGTGACGGACCCCGCCGTCGAGCTCCACGTCGGCGTGGCGCCAAGGGAGAGATCCCTGGAGCCAGTCCTGCCACCGTTTTTAACAGCTTTCCTTGCCGCGTCCGTTAAGCGGATCGCCGCCGTCGTTCAATGAGTCACACGGTTGACTTGCTCACAGCGGTCTTGGGGAGGGTTAGGGAGAGTGCGGTTGCCGCGCTTATTACCTGCCTGTAGAGGTGACACCAGTGCGCAGCCTCCTTTGGCCTGCTGCCAAGCTTTTCACACACACACACACACACACACACACACACGCACACGACCCTCCAACGGCCAGCCAGCTGGGTAACGAAGGCACCTGGTCTTTTCATCTTCCCCGAGGGAGGCTTACCAGCCATCTGGCGCTCCCCGCAGGAACGCTCGGGCCAAGGGTCGGAGCGTTTGAGAAGGACACCAGGGCGCCCTCAGCTCCCTCGGGGGATCGATGAAGCCGGGGGTCCCCAACCTTGAAGCTCTGAAGAGCAGCCTGGAAGATCTCTAAGGTCCTGAGGGGTTTTGTGGCACGTTGTGAGGTTCGTTGTTGTTTTAGGGCGAAGTCTCTGGAGGTGCTCAGCCCTCCTGGTTGTCCCAAAGGGGCTTTTTTTTTTTTTGGTCTCAAGAGGCAGCTGGACTTTCTGTATAATTTTTTTTCTTTGAAGGTGTTTTGCTTTTCATCCAAGAAGCTTCTTCTCATCCAGAAGGTCTTCTTCAGCTTTAGGGGTGAAGCTTTCCCCACTCCTCGGGCCGTGCTTCGCTCTTGACCCAGCTGCTCGGTCAAGAGGAGCCACCGAGGACAATGCCCCTCAAAGCTGGCCCTCCTTTAGGTTCCTTTGGTTAAACCCCCCTCAAGCTCTGGCCAGCGACCATCAGAATCTGGGTAAAATCCAATCCTTGTCTCTGCCTTCAGGCGCCGTCTCCCATGGGCCTCTTGTGGAAACTGCCGAGGGGGATGGTGGTTTGGAATCTTGTGTCTCTCTCTACCTTCCCCTTCTCCTCTCTCCCCTTTTTTTGACCTGTCTTGATTTACCTTCGCCAGGCACCCTTCCAGGTCAGGAGAAGCTCTCGCAGAGATCAGGGGAGGGCACCAGTTGCAGTCCTTCCAGGAAGAGGTCTTCCTCCGAGAGCACGTCTTCCACAGGTGGGTCAGGTGACTTCTCTAAGATAGGTGTAGGGAGCCCTTCAGGTGTCACAGACCTGGGACTGTAAGCCAGCGTTGTTCAGCCTCAACAATATATGACAGGGACTTCCACTCCCAGAATCCCCCAGTCTGCAGGCTTTAAGATGGGCGGACTTCCACTCCCAGAATCCCTCAGTCTGCAGGCTTTAAGATGGGCGGACTTCCACTCCCAGAATCCCCCAGTCTGCAT